CAACACATGAATCTGGCATATGCAACACATGAATCTGCCATTATGCAACACATGAATCTGCCATTATGCATACATAAATCTGCCATTATGCAACACATGAATCTGCCACTATGTAACACATGAATCTGCCATTATGTAACACATGAATCTGCCACTATGTAACACATGAATCTGCCACTATGCAACACATGAATCTGCCATTATGCAACACATGAATCTGCCACTATGCAACACATGAATCTGCCACTATGTAACACATGAATCTGCCACTATGCAACACATGAATCAGCCACTATGCAACATATGAATCTGCCACTATGCAACACAAGAATCTGCCACTATGCAAAACACGAATCTGCCACTATGTAACACATGAATCGGCCACTATGCAACACATGAATCTGCCACTATGCAACACATGAATCTGCCATTATGCAACACATGAATCTGCCACTATGCAACATATGAATCTGCCACTATGCAAAACACGAATCTGCCACTATGTAACACATGAATCGGCCACTATGCAACACATGAATGTGCCACTATGCAACACATGAATCTGCCACTATGCAACACATGAATCTGCCATTATGCAACACATGAATCTGCCACTATGCAACACATGAATCTGCCACTATGCAACACATGAATCTGCCACTATGCAACACATGAATCTGCCACTATGCAACACAAGAATCTGCCACTATGCAACACAAGAATCTGCCACTATGCAACACATGAACCTGCCACTATGCAACACATGAATCTGCCACTATGCAACACATAAATCTGCCACTATGCAACACATGAATCTGCCACTATGCAACATATGAATCTGCCATTATGAATACATAAATCTGCCAGTATGCAACACACGAATCTGCCACTATGCAACACATGAATCTGCCACTATGTAACACATGAATCTGCCACTATGCAACACATGAATGTGTCACTATGTAACACATGAATGTGTCACTATGTAACATGTGAATCTGCCACTATGTAACACGTGAATCTGCCACGATGCAACATATGAATGTGCCATTATGCAACACATGAATGTGCCATTATGCAACACATGAATCTGCCACTATGCAACACATGAATCTGCCATTATGCAACACATGAATGTGCCATTATGCAACACATGAACCTGCCACTATGCAACACATGAATCTGCCACTATGCAACACATGAATCTGCCACTATGCAACACATGAATCTGCCATTATGAATACATAAATCTGCCATTATGCAACACATGAATCTGCCACTATGCAACACATGAATCTGCCACTATGTAACACATGAATCTGCCACTATGTAACACATGAATCTGCCACTATGCAACACATGAATGTGCCACTATGCAAAACACGAATCTGCCACTATGTAACACATGAATGTGCCACTATGAAACACATGAATCTACCACTATGCAACACATGAATCTGCCACTATGCAACACATGAATCTGCCACTATGCAACATATGAATCTGTCACTATGCAACACAAGAATCTGCCACTATGCAAAACACGAATCTGCCACTATGTAACACATGAATGTGCCACTATGAAACACATGAATCTACCACTATGCAACACATGAATCTGCCACTATGCAACACATGAATCTGCCACTATGCAACATATGAATCTGTCACTATGCAACACAAGAATCTGCCACTATGCAAAACACGAACCTGCCACTATGTAACATATGAATCTGCCACTATGCAACACATGAATCTGCCACTATGCAACACATGAATCTGCCACTATGCAACATATGAATCTGTCACTATGCAACACAAGAATCTGCCACTATGCAAAACACGAACCTGCCACTATGTAACACAAGAATCTGCCACTATGCAACATATGAATCTGCCACTATGCAACACAAGAATCTGCCACTATGCAAAACACGAATCTGCCACTATGTAACACGTGAATCTGCCACTATGTAACATGTGAATCTGCCACGATGCAACATATGAATGTGCCATTATGCAACACATGAATGTGCCATTATGCAACACATGAATCTGCCACTATGCAACACATGAATCTGCCACTATGCAACACATGAATGTGCCACTACGCAACACATGAATCTGCCACTATGCAACACAAGAATCTGCCACTATGCAAAACACGAATGTGCCACTATGCAACATATGAATCTGCCACTATGCAACACAAGAATCTGCCACTATGCAACACATGAATCTGCCACTATGCAAAACACGAATCTGCCACTATGCAAAACACGAATCTGCCACTATGTAACACAAGAATCTGCCACTATGCAAAACACGAATCTGCCACTATGCAAAACACGAATCTGCCACTATGCAAAACACGAATCTGCCACTATGTAACACAAGAATCTGCCACTATGCAAAACACGAATCTGCCACTATGTAACGCAAGAATCTGCCACTATGTAACACAAGAATCTGCCACTATGCAACACAAGAATCTGCCACTATGCAAAACACGAATCTGCCACTATGCAAAACATGAATCTGCCACTATGCAACACAAGAATCTGCCACTATGCAAAACATGAATCTGCCATTATGCAACACAAGAATCTGCCACTATGCAAAACACGAATCTGCCACTATGTAACACACAAATCTGCCACAATGCAACACATGAATGTGCCACTATGTAACACATGAATGTGCCACTATGCAACACATGAATG